GCAAAAAATAAATGTGTAAAATAAACATGCTTATACTTTAACAAATAAACAAATATTTAATAAAAATATAATTAAAGAGGAAGTATACACTGTAACCAACAGGGCACTCAGTATTCTGGGAAGTTTGTGTGCATTGGGAATCAAATTTTTTCAAATAAAGCCAAGCATTTTACATACAGCACACAGTGAAAATGACATGAATATGACATTGGGCAAAAGCATGAAGCGCAGCATAAAATCTTAAATATGGATATTTTTCTTACACAACCGCATCAATCCGCTTCAAAAGGCCTTTATTAACCCGCCGGAGCCATGTAGAGCACTTTTTATGATGGATGGATGCACTTTTTTGGGCTTCAAAATCTCGACCCCCATTCAATGCCATTATAAAGCTTGGAAGAGCCATGAAATTTTTTTATATAACTTCGCCACAAGTTTAAAGTTTGTCGATCGCGCATCTCAATGAAGCTGAACTCTCCTCCTGTCCGTATTCAATTCGCACGGACCGACCGTCATGCAGAGAGCACGCGATCGTGCAGGATACAAATGCACGCTTCATAAGATCTCACAGCTGGATTCGACTAAGTTTGCAAGGTTTTTGAAATTAGATGTTCATTAGTCATTCAAAGATTTGTTTAAATTATATACATGCATTTTTGCTGAATGCTGACGGCAAACGGGAAAGTATTATAATGTTTGCCTTTCTATTACTAACAATATAAAAGCAATTGTTATAATACTTTTTTGTATACATTTTAATTCCTTTGTTTAACAGTTCTATCTGATTAATAGACAGACTTCTGTCCGTGGACAGAACTGTTGACGACAGCGAACAAGAGGGAGAATGTGAGCACTGTGTGTTCAGGTGCTGCCGTTCTTAGTGCCGTCAAAATAAAAGTCCAGTGAAGAACGCATCTGCCAAACAGAAAAACTTAGCGGCCGATGCCGATATTTGAAAAAATGCCAAATATCGGCCGATATATCGGTCGACCACTAGTATGGACCACTTCAAAGGTACTTTTATGGTCAGAAAATTGTTCTGACTTGCTATTTGCCAGAAGTTAAAAAGTCAAGCTTGCAGTGACATTAGTCTACTGCAATGTCATTAGAACTTTTTTTAAAGTTAATTTGCATTTTTGAGTGAACTATTCTTTTAAGTAGTCCCAAATTCCAGGCCTTCAGCTGGGACCATGCCATCAATCATAAACAGGAAATGCAAGAGATTTATCTGGAAGTACATCCTGCAATGTTAGAACCACAGGAAACGGCTGGGAGAGGGAACAAAACAGCAGCACCATGTTCACACATGAGTCCGAGTGCTCTGAAACTGACACAAGCTGCAGCACACACTAACAATAGCCTGGCTTGATGATAACAGAAAGACTGCAAAACCCCCCCAAAGATCTGAGTCATCATTAGACCCACGTGACGCTCACAAAAAAAAGCCAAGGGACTGAGAAAGAAGGGTTATTGAGGTCTCGGTGGCTGAGGAGAGGACAATGAACAGCACAAATTACATGCAGAGTGAAACACTACTTTTACGAAAGTCACTCCTTAGAGACGGTTCTGGTTTCCTGAGCCTTTCCTGGAAGCTGCACCGTCCTGCCCTGCTTCCTGTGCCACAAGTGACATTCCTGACAGGAATCTACGGTAAGGAGGAGAACTTGGTTGTACAGAGCGCTTAGATGAACACTTCATCTGTTCACATGCACGTCCTCTTCCCTGTTTTTGTCATCAACTAAAACTAAGAGACAGTAAGAATTAAGTGGAATCAAAACAAAACCAACTGATAAACAGGCAAGTGAACACAGAAATTTAACCACAGACCTCCCCCAAAATAAAGTCTTATTCAGCTTCTGAATCAGGAAGTGATACATCCTATATTCTTTTGTTTAAGCTGAGTTAACTTCCGTTCATCTGAAGAAAAAGCAGAAGTTTTACATTGGATGCATTTTCCCAAGGAAATGAGTCAAAGACACAACATTCATTTACGAGGGAGGTGTAACGACACAGCAGAAATGTGTGACACAGCAAAATGTTTCTCTCCTAATTCAGAAATATCTGATAATCTGTCGCCACACGATAGTTTATCTTACGGTCAATTTCTGTGAATTTGAGTGCTAAATCTATAATTGATCTTTTTAAAATTAATAATTGTTCATTTTAAAGCCGAAATCTTCCTAGTCTGTTTTTTGTGAAGTCAGACTTACAGACCTATATAACGTGAGCTTGGTTTCATTTAGCAAGTACACACATTAATCCGACTACATCTAGCTAAGCATTGTGTAATTGATGTAATATACATTTCATTCTTCAAATATCTGACCACACGTGGTGTTATATATATAACTGGACAGTCAGATAGAGACTGTAGAGTGCAATAGAGCAACCGTCCATCTTCTTTAGCAGCCTTGATTCCACAAGTCCTTTCCCCATTAATTTCCAATAGGGATTTTTCAAAGTAATTTAAGAGTTATAAGCCATGAACCAAACCAACCAGCTACGAGGTAAATCACAACAGTACTAACTTGGTTTTGAAGCAAAAAAGTATTTGAAAAGACAAAGGTAAAAGACTGTATTTAAAAGGGACAATTCACCCAAAAATGAAAATTCTGTCATTAGCCTAATTGCTCATCCTCATGCCATTACAAACCTGTAAGACATTAGTTCATCTTCAGAACACAAATTAAAGGGTTAGTTCACTCAAAAATGAAAATTGGCTTGTGTTTTACTCACCCTCGAAGCACCACCGTGCTTCACACGGCTCCGGGGTGTTGCAGTTGAACAGTCCACAAGTCGTCAAATAAAGCACGCGCATTCATAATAAAACGTGCCTCACACGGCTCCGGGGGGTGAATAAAGGCCTTCTGTAGTGAATCCATGCGTTTTTGTAAGAAAAATATCAATTTTTCAAACGTAATAAACACTTTTATATCACTGCCGCCAACTGTCATACGCGGAAGCCGTTCCGGTAGATGACGTAGCACGTCGGCATTGCGTGATTAGTGACGAAAGTGGAGAGACAACAAAACAAAACGGCGGTCACGAATTAGAAGTACAAACCGAAGATTTGCAAAGAAAAATGTCGATATAAGCCAAGAGGAGACTGGTTTTCCTTTGCTAAAGGAAACTTTGCTTCCTTTGCTCCTATAAACAAACTCGCGAGACTACCATATCTCAGAGACGCGCGCCGCGCATCCGTCATATGCCTTCCGCCGGAACGCCTGAAAGAAGAAAGTCATATACACCTAGAATGCTTCGAGGGTGAGTAAAACACAAGCCAATTTTCGTTTTTGGGTGAACTAACCCTTTAAGATATTTTTGATGAAATCCGAGAGTTTTCTGAAACTGCATAGACAGCAATGTAACTACCACGTTCAAGGCCCAGAAAGGTAGTAAGGACATCGTTAAAATAGTCCATGTGACATCAGTGGTTGAATCGTAATGGAGCTACGAGAATACTTTTTGCGCACAAAGAAAACAAAAATAACGACTTTATTCAACAATTTCTTCTCTTCTGCGTCAGTCTTAGATGCGCACTTACGAAAGTATCATGACGCATGTGTGTGATGCTGCTGATGCAGAAACCGGATGCAAATGCACATGCTGTACATTCGTAAACATGTCATCAGCAGCACCACACGCATGTGTCGCGGTACTCTCATGAAGGCACGTCAAAGACTGACACAGAAGAGAACAACTGATGTCACATGGACTATTTTAATGATGTCCTTACTACCTTTCTGGGCCTTGAACGTGGTAAATGCATTGCTGTCTATGCAGAGTCAGAAAGCTCTCGTATTTCATCAAAAATATCTTAAATTGTGTTCCGAAGATAAACAAAGGTCTTACAGTTTTGGAACGACATGAGGGTGAGTAATTGATTACAGAATTTTCATTTTGGGGTGAACTATCCCTTTAATGGCTTTAATGGCAGCAAGAACTACAATTCCTTGAAGAATTGTGAATGACTACCGATTTAAAAACAACAGAGAAATGTAAAACAAATGATTTAAAGATGTTCATTGTATATAGTGACTCGATTATGTCATCTGCAGTGCTTCACAGAAGTGGATGGCACTAAAGAGCTGATTTGAATTTCTCTAATTGGTGATGATTTCGGAGAATCATGAGTAATGCAGATTTTCACCAGGATTTCCAGTGTTAAACACAAATATTTAGCTACTAGGTTGTTAATCGATATACCAGCTCACACTAGTTTTTTTTTTAACAGTTTATAAGTTATCTTTAAAAATTAATTCACCTATGGAGAAAATTTATATAATTTTTACTTCCAGAGCCCGACTGTTGCACTCTGTACTTCAATTATAACTATGCATGTAAACATACTTTTTAATGATGCAAAACTGATTCAGACCAAAAGTGGGATAGCGTTGAAATCAAAGTTGGTTTTGATTGAAGTCAAGCTTAAAAACACTATATAAGGGCCTAAATAACATTTTTTTTTTTCATAACACGGGATAGGTTTTTCCACTGAGAGCAATCTAATTCCATTGTGGTGAAAAGGAGGAAGAGGAAAAAGCAGAAAAGGAAAATGTAGCAGTGATAGAAGAGGACAGAGTTGTAAAGAAAAAGAGAAGTGCACTGTGCGTGAAGTGAATAGTCTAAGTGTTTTACTGCAGGAATGAGTAGCACATTCCCCTGTAAAACAAACGAGCCATCTTAAATGCCTAGATTTGTGCCGGCCCAAGAATAGCAGTCCAACGCCAGGCCGAGATCCCCGGGGAATTGTCAGGGGGAGAGAAGGGAAACTCGGATGAGAGGAAGGGGTTTGGTTTGTGGCTGCTGATAAGATGCTTGAGGGGGACATGAATACTTTGCTGATAGTTTGGGGTTTTCATTGGACACACAAAATGGGTCATGAAAACAAAGCTTTGAAATACCGAAAACAAACCACACAATATGGCAAAGGCTGCAATGATTCAGAGGTGATTTTTAAACATGCCAAAAAGGCAGCGAGGGTTCACCGGGTTCCTTACCTCTCCGAAGGCTCCCCTGCCAATCACTTTGAGCATCTCAAAGTCATCTCTGTGAAGGCGCATCTCCTTCACGGTGGTTGTGAATGGCTTCACTGTGAAGAGAGATGGAGAGAATTAGTTATGCAATGGTTTGAAAAAAAACAAAAAGCTTTGAAATGGGCAATGGAGAAAGATGCTGGCACAGCCATGCTAAGTAATCCTTGACATTGATGCACCAATATTAAAATGTTGGCAGATACAAATAAGCCGACAATGATAATATATAATATATAAATTACAATTTAGAATTATGGCCAAATAGCGCTGTCAAATGATTAATCGCCTCCAAATAAAAGTGTTTGTTTACATAATATGAGTGTGTACTGTGTATATTTGTTACGTATATATAAATACACAGACAAGCATACTGTATATATATATATATATATATAT